GTGGAATTCACTGCCATAGGAGGTGGTGGTGGCTACAATAGGGAATTGGGAAAACATATGGAGCAGAGGTCCATCAGTGGCTATTAGCCACAAGGTATAGATAGGAACTCTCAGTCTGGAGCAAGTGATGCTCTGTATTCTTGGTGCTTGGGGGGGGGGCAACAGTGGGAGGGCTTCTAGTGTCCTGGCCCCACTGGTGGACCTCCTGATGGCCCCTGGTATTTTTGGCCACTGTGTGATAGAGACTGTTGGACTGGAGGGGCCATTGGCCTGATCCAACATTGGCTTCTCTTATGTTCTTATATATTGAGTACTTTGGTTAATGTCAGCATAACATAAAACTGTCTGACATTACTTTATAGATGGCATTACATTAAAGATGTATGCCAATATTGGTGTTTCATGCAGGTGAAATAGTCTATCATTCATATAGCAAGGAGCTGCTCAGCTGTCATGCACATTGGACTAAATATCTGTAGTTTATTGGCCCTTTCTACACTGTTCTTATAATCCATGTTCACCCCGGTACCCTCCAAGCAATTCTGCACTAAAATCTAATTCAACCTTCTTTTAAATCCAGTTTCTCCCCCCATTCTGCATTAAAATTGAGTCCTCTTGTGGATCAAAAACTGGCTAATTAATAGGAAACAGAGAGTATAAATGGGCAATTTTCTCTGTGGAGGGTACCGTAGGGATCAGTACTGGGTCCGATGCTTTTTAACTTGTTCATTAATTATTTCGAGTTGGGAGTAAGCAGAAGATTGGCTAAATTTGTGGATGACATGAAATTGTTCTGGGTGGCGAAAACCAGGGAGGATTGAGAGGCACTTCAAAGAGATCTGTTGAGGATCGGTGAGTAGGTGTCAACGTGGCAAATGGGGTTCAATGTGGTCAAGTGCAAAGTGATGCACATTGGGGCCAAAAATCCTAACTAGAAATACATGTTGAAGGGGTGAACTGGCAGAGACTGACCAAGAAAGAGATCTTGGAGTTGTAGTAGATAACTCAATGAAAATGTCGACACAGTGTGCAACTGCAATAAAAAAGGTCAATGCTATGCTGGGGATTATTTATTATTTATTTATTTATTTAACTTTAGACTTTATATCCCGCTCGAACCCTCTTTCTCAAGGGGTCTCAGAGCGGCTTACAAGTGGTGCTAGTCACACAATTTTTCCCTAACTAGGGCCACAGAGTTTGTAGGGGTGGGGTTACCTATCAGCACCCTTGTGGTGGTGGTGGTTGGAATGTTCGTTCTTGGCTCGGCACTCGGTACTTCGATCGGCTCGGCACTCTGCTCGTCCCCGGCGGGCTCCCATGATTTGGCGGTAGTTCTTCTTTCGGGGCGCACGATTCACGTCTTCTTCTGGCCCCAGCAACGTCCTTCCGGCTCCGCTGCGCCAGCGTCCAACGTCATCATGATGCGCCCATCTCACCGGCAGCCGCCCTGATGTTTTCCTCTCTCCCGGCCAGCAGGGATTGCCCCGTCAGTCGTAGTGGCTTGCTGCTGCCACTGCCGCCGCCTCGCCGCACCACGCCACCTCCGATCTCTGGAGCCGATGTCTCGTCCGCCGCCGCCGCCATCGATCACCACATCAGGCAGGGTGCCCCCCACCCTACTAAGGGTGGGTACCCATTTATCTACTTGCAACTAATTGCTTTCGAACTGCTGGGTGGGCGGGAAGGGAAGGGAATTGAAAACAAATCAGCCAGTATCATAATGTCCCTGTATAAATCGATGGTGCAACCTTATTTGGAATGCTGTGTGCAATTTCGGTCACCACACCTCAAAAAGGATAATATAGCATTGGGGAAAGTGCAAAAAAGGGGAACTAGAATGATCAATGGATTGGAACATTTTCCCTATGAAGAAAGGTTAAAGCGCTTGGGGCTCTTTAGCTTGGAAAAATGACGGCTGAGGGGTGACATGATCAAGGTTTACAAGATTATGCATGGGATAGAGCAGGTAAAGGAAGAAGTACTTTTCTCCTTTTCTCACAATACAAGAACTCATGGGCACTCAATGAGCGGTCGGGTTCGAATGGATAAAAGGAAGTACTTATTCACCCAAAGAGTGATTAACACATGGAATTCACTGCCAAAGGAGGTGGTGGCAGCTACAAGCATGGATGGCTTCAAGGGGGAATTGTATAAACATATGGAGCAGAGATCCATTAGTGGCTATTAGCAACAAGGTATAGATAGGAACGCTCAGTCTGGGGAAAGCGATGCTCTGTATTTTTGGTGCTGGGGGGGGGCAACAATGGGAGAGCTTCTAGTGTTCTGGCCCCACTGCTGGACCTCCTGATGGCACCTGGTATGTTTGCCACTGTGTGACAGAGTCTTGGAATGGATGGGCCATTGGCCTGATCCAACATTGGCTTCTCTTATGTTCTTAATATGTTGCTCGTACCTGTTGTTACCCACGCTGAGCCCTGCTGTGTGCGTGGGGGGGACTATAAGCAAAAATAAATAAATATAATAAATAAATAAAATTCAAAACTCAAGAATTTCCACCAGAAACGTTTTTTTTTCCCAGCTATATATTCAGTTTAGTTATATCCAAGCACAGGTCCCTATTTCCCCATCAGACAGAGACACTTTTATTCATTCAGGATTTGAACTGCACTATGGTAACATTATTATGTCTTAACCTTCCTGGTTACTTGCCTCCTGAGGCATTTAAGGAAGCTTTTATGGCATGTTTTATGGATCCAGTGGTTTAACACTGCTGATTTAATTGGTTGACTGATGCTTTTTAAGCTTTATATCAAAGGGTTTTACTACTTGAGACGGATGTTACTGATTTTTAAAAATCTTATGGATGGATCCAAACTAAACTTTACATTAATGGAAGACACATCCATTAGTGGAATAAAATTTTCTGCCCCTGTATTGCACTTTCCCACTGCAGCCCTCTGATCTTCCTTCCTTCCTTCCTTCCTTCCTTCCTTCCTTCCTTCCTTCCTTCCTTCCTTCCTTCCTTCCTTCCT